TCCTGTATTTTATGCATTTCTGGCTAAAACCTGTGCGAACCCAAAGTGTCCTTTCGTAGGTGAGTGGATAACTACTGTCACGGTGGTAGGGAAGCTTGAGGCAGGACAGATGAGGACACGGAAGCCCTTGAAGTGCAGAAATTGGACACAGGGAAACAAGAAAAAAGCCATGACGTAGAGTCAGCGGTTTCCAGAGAAGAGATGTTGGCCACAGGTAAACAGCACAGAAGCAGCTAAGGGAATCCATGGCTTTAGGCAAAGGGCATTGTGGTGACCAAATGCTGCACCAAGCTTAAAACTCAGATTAGCAAAGCCAACCTAGACTGTGGACAAAGTCACTGTAGAGAGAAGAGATGGTTACCCGGGATTAGCATGGGATGCAGGCAGAGAGGAAGGAGTTACTTAAGAAAAATGTGCTGTAAATTAAATGAATGGAGACTCATCTGCTGCTTTGAAGAGTGGATATGGATGGTTCACGGAAGATTTTTTTTTAACATAATTGTAAGGATAAACGTGGGTCACATGAGATGGTCAAGCATCAGAGGTGATGCTTGGATTGCCAGCACAAGTAACATTTGAGAGAATCAAGACCTGGCCCGGCTACAGGCCAGGGGGCTGGACACACTGGAGGCAGGTGGGGCATGAAGGTAACAGGATTTTCTGAAGGCAGAGAATGCTGCCAGTGCTTAGCAAAAACATAGTCTCGGTGGATACTTTAGAAGGCTGAAATGCAGTCGATTTTGCCTTACTCTTAGGAACTAAAGTGAATTATAAAATAGAATCAGCAATAAAATATGCAGGTAAAATAATGGCAGGTGGGCCCGGTGTGATAGACTAGTGCCTAAAGTCCTCACATTGCATGATCCCATGTGATGTCCCTATTGCTCTAGATCCCAGGCAGCTCCCCGCTTGTGGCCTGGGAGGGCAGTAGAGGACGGCCAAAGCCTTGGGGCTCTGCACTCATGTGGGAGCTAGCGCAGCTTCTTGGATCCTGGCTTTGGATCGGCTCAGTTCTGGCTGTTGTGACCACTTGAGGAGCGAATCTATGGACAGATGTTTTTCCTTGTATCTCCTCTCTCTGTAGATCTGCCTTAACAATTAAATTGATTTAAAAAAAGATGCATAGCAATGAAATAACCTAGAACTATACAAAAGAAGAAAACAAGGAAAAAATTTATACAATATTAACAATTAATAGAATCCAGTAAGATTCATTAAAGAAAAAAAGTTATGTAATACATTAAAAAATTTAAATAATTTTTTACAAAGCTTATAAATTTTGAGATATTAATGGAAATCTCCAAGAAATTTAGGAATAAAATGGAAATGGGTAAAAGATAGAACAAAAGCACACAATTATGGAAATCAACTTGTCAAAACACAAATACATAGAACTTATGAAACCTAATGTAAAATATTAGTAAGTTGAACTAATATTTTAAAAATCAAAACAGCCAATGGACAAATAAATTCCACACACAAAAAAGTTCGGGTCCAAACATGCATCCCAAATTCTAAAGGAAAAAAAGAAACAAACTAAAAAACAGGTTCCCAACTCAAGAGTGTCAATAAACAATATGTTTGAATTTCTTTTTTACAAAAGATTTATTTTTATTGGAAAGGCAGATCAAGTTTATAGAGAGAAGGACATACAGAAAGATCTTCCATCCACTGGTTCACTCCTCAGATGGCTCCATTGGCCAGAGCTGAATCAGGAGCCATGAGCCTGGGGCCCACGGATTTGGGCCATCTGCTGCTGCTTTTCTCAGGCCATCAGCAGGGACCTGAAAAGGAAGTGAAGCATCTGGGACAGGAACCCATGCCCACATGGGATCCCGGTGAATTCACCATCAGGATTTATCCCATTGAGCCTTCGTGCTGGGCACTTGAATTTCTTTTCTTAGTCCAACATTATATTGATGATACCAGACCATGGTATGAAATAAACAGAAATGCAAGGAACCACTCTTTTTATTAGTGAGAAATGAAATATTTTAAGCAAAATATTGGTAATCCAGTATAAAAACACTGTAGATACAATGAGTACAGGACAAGACTCAAAGATAGTTAACATTCAAGAAAAATTATATGCATCATTCATGTGGATTTCAGTACAAGAAAATAAATTGTTTAGATTACATGTTTTAGAACATTTAATAAAAATGAGATATCTAGTCATAAATGATAAACTTAGTAGAATACAAAAAAAAGCAATTACTCTATTAGGACTCTGCAACAAATGGTATAATTAACAGAGAGCATTGAAAGTTTGTTTTCTTGGGAACAGGCTTGCTGTTACCACCTATCTTCAACATTGTTCTGGAATTATATCCACAGAAATTGAATAACAGACAGTAAATATTGGTACAAGAATAAACTTTTATGCAGCAAAATTCAATGAATGTGAAGGAATTTTGCACACTCAGTGATAATCTAACATAATCCAAAATCAAAAACCGTTGAGAGAATTAAGCAAGATGTCCAAATACAAGAGCAAATAATATAATCAAGTGGGTTAGTCTATCAGCAAAAACAAAGTTTTAAAGAATAAAATGCAGACTAGTAAATTCATACCTATAATAAATATTAAGCTATGTGGTATCTTCAAATCTAGGAAGTCAAGTGACATAAACAGAAAAGTAACTGAGCAATATGCAGATAAGACTCAAAATCCATGAGCATTGGATAAATTTAAGGAAACCTTGTAGGATCCTAGCTGAAGCAAACATCCTGGGAAGAGGACATCAAGGAGGCAACAGCACCCCCTGCTGTCAGAAATGCCAAACCCCCCAAAAGGAGGCAGTTTCAGACCTGAGCCTACATTTTTGACCCCTTCCCCCCCCAACGTGTCCAAACCCCCTGTTACCATGCCCACGCTAGTGTTGATTCTTGTTTGCATATTCTCTGGTGTCATATGCTTATGGCCTGTGCAAAGTGTCCGACCATGAGCTGACAAGCACCAACCATTCAGAAGAAGCGTGTGGGATCTTTGCTTTTACCAGGCCTCTCTTCTGAGGGAGCCTTCTGGTTCAGCAGGAGTTTTCTTCAACACGGGAGTCATCAGAGGGATGCAGAAATTTGTGGAAGCTGGAAAGTGTTGAGTGTGTGGTGCCAGTCATCATCAGCACCCTGCAGGATGAGGGCTGGGTCAAGAGTGGGGATTTTTCTATGTAGTGATTTTGATTCAGCCCTGGGACCTCAGATCTCACCGAATCTGTGGGAGAGACTAAAGAGGGCTCAGGGAGAATCATCCATATGACTTTGGTGAGCAAAGAAGCTCTGACCTGTGGGCCGTCAGTGACTCAGTGGCTCCGGGTTCCCCTCAGTTGTGAAACTTGGACTAATGCCCACGTCCCAGACCTCAGCATCGATCCTCTGTTTCTAATAACAATATCATAAACTGAGTGAATAATAATAATAATATAATAATAATAAAGACGTTACGGCCAAGGACTTGGATGAGGGACAGTATTAGTGATGGCCTTACTGTTTGCTAAAGTTGGGGTAACACAGGGACGACTCAGTGATTCTGGAATCATTTCCTCTGAGTTTGTGGCACAGTTTGAAGGATTGGTGTTGATTGTTTTTGGAAAGTTTGGTGGGATTTAGTCATTTAGACATCGGCTATTGACCTTTTGTTTGGAAACTTTTTATTCCTTCTTGGAGTGGGAAAATCATACTACTAATAGTTGCCTATTCTTAAATCATTTCTCTGTTTCTTCGAAATACGTTCATATAATTATTAGGGATCATGATTTTGCACACTGCCTCAGTGATAGAAGCTCTAGTAATTAAACTGCAATGAATAAAGGAACAAACGGTGGGAATTTGTAGAGGTGAATCATCCATGTGTTAAATGTGGAGGGAGAGGTGCCAGAGAACAGGCCTGCCAAAGACTCACAGGGATTGCACTCTGAGATTAGTCTATTTAAAGACTGATTTGAAAGACCAGGCAACAGAGAGTTTATGTGTCTGCTGGTGCATTTCTAAAACAGCTGCAAGAACTAGAAACCGGTTAACTCCACTTGGGTTTCCAGGCGATGGAAGCTTTATGTTCGTATACAAATACCTTAAGACCTGTCTCTAGTACGTATATCATTGCAATATATACATTAGAAAATGATTTTCTGTCATGAAATGTGATCCATGAATATATTACTAATTATTTTGAGCAAACAGTTATTTAAAGGGTCAGGGAGGGGTCCGGCATGGTGGCCTAGCGACTTAAGTCCTCACCTTGAAAGCACCGGGATCCCATACAGGCGCTGGTTCTAATCTCGGCAGCTCCACTTCCCATCCAGCTCCCTGCCTGTGGCCTGGGAAAGCAGTCGAGGACGGCCCAAAGCCTTGGGATCCTGTACCCATGTGGGAGAGCCGGAAGAGGTTCCTGGATCCCGGCTTCACATGGGCATAGCACCGGCCATTGCACTCACTTGGGGAATGAATCATTGGACGGAAGATCTTCCTCTCTGTCTCTCCTCCTCTCTGTATATCTGACTTTCCAATAAATAAATAAATCTTTTAAAAAAAAAGGGTCGGGGAGGGATGAATCTCTATAGTGTATCATGGAAAAGAGTAAATTTTTTATAAAGGTTTGGACCTGAGTTGCCATAAGTATATTGCTTTCAAGCTTTAGTGTTTTAAAGAAAAATAGTAATTGCTTTTTTCCTTTAAATAAGCATGTATATAGCCACAATGTAATGATCTGAACTGAAATTGAAAATAAAATTACTTAAAATTTTTGTAAAATTCTCTGTCCACATTTCAGGTTCTCCATTAAGTGTGGATTTGTCAAGCTAAGATTTAATCATCAGAATTCCACACAGTTAGCACATGGGTATAGAGCAATTCTAATGTATCACACTTGGTTTCCGGGTAATGCGGCTAGAACACACAGTCCCCATGTCGTTCTGATTTCCTGGTTGAGGGGTATAACATCTTGTGGGAATGGTGTGTCTTCCTCCCCTGATATCGTCAACACAGAATCAGGCTTTTTCCCATTGTTTCTGAGCACGGACCTTTCTGCCTGTGCCTCCCCTCTTTTCCCCCAAAATTGCCAAGTGGTGCTATCCAATGGACTTTAAATAGATTCTGTAATCTTGAAGCTTGGATCCAGAGGTAAAGAAGCATATTACAGATTTGGGGAGCGCTGCATTTTGCTAGGACTTCTCTGCCCCTTCCCACGTATAAAGTTCTGTTCCTGCACAGGTGACGGTCTTCAGTTGTCCAGCTAATCCGTTATTTGGTATTTGTTTCCACTGTATTCTTGCTTAGCACAGAAGAATGTAGGTGCAAACTAGATTATTTTCTCACTATTCCTTCTGTTCATCTTTTCTTCCAGACTGAATTCTAGAGAACCTTACAGCTTTGCAAGAAAAAAGAAAATGAGTACATCTCTCGTAAGTTGCTTATTTATTTCTCACTTTGTTTGATATTGTTTTTAGGGGCTTTGTGAGAGTTAGTGAATTAAAATGAAAAAGTGTAATTCAGCATCAAAGGATGTATATATAGACAAAGTAAAATTGTGACAATTGCTACATATGAGAGCTACCCGAGGTTGCTGAAAATTAGTCTCTGGTCTTTCTTGTGCTATAACAAGAAAGACATTTGTGTTTGATAGTTCAAACTGAATCTAAGGAGATACTGTGCTGAATTCCTGTGGGTTATGAAGTTCAAAACAGTTTGTCATTGGTCATGTGGATGATGTAATAGACAATGGCTAACGCCAATTTGTAAGTAAACATAACATTCAGCAGTGATGGAATTTAGCTAGTGCTAAAGTACAGAGTTAGTTACTACGAATTTTATTTGGAGTTGCTGAAATAGTGTGGTCCTCAGTATCTTTGGGGGCCTATGCTGTGTTCATGGATTGGACAAGAAGTGTATGGAATTTTCTTCAGGTTTTTAACAGCCTTACATTTCTCCAGCTCAATGTACATGCACCGAATATGCTATAGACTTAGTAATTTACAGACTCAAATAATTCCATTCGTCATTTGAACCTTAACCTACTTAACATCTTAATTCACTTCCTTAAGGATTTAGCAATAACATCTATAGTCAAAAACAAGTTTTGTTTTCTAATATTTACCTTACCAGAATCTTTTGCCATAAAATATGTGTTTATGTGAAAGAGAGAAACATAGTGAGAGACACATACTTAGATTTGGAGATAAAGAGAAAGCTCTTATCCGCCGACTCACTCCCCACATAACCACAGCATCCAGGACTGGATCACAGCTGAAGAATGAGCATGCAGTCCCGATGTTCCACATGGCTGACAGAAGCCTGGTTGCTTGAGTCATCGCTGTTGCCTCCTGGGGTCTGCGTAGTAAGACGATGGACAGCCGGAGTTAAGAATCCAGCCCTGGCACCTTGAAGTTGGATTAAGGAGTCATGAGTGATGTCAAAGTCACAAAAATAAATGGCTCCCTGCACTTTTTAGTTTCTCTTACATGTTTGAAACTAGTATATTTGAGCTTCTGAAAATTGGTTCTATCCTGACCTCACTGATGCTTTCTGGTCCGTAATATCAGCCATTCAAGTATTCCATGTGCTCTCTCACTCATCCTTCCCTTCTGTTATCCTTGCAGACCTCACCACCGGTGGGCTGACACTCTGATTTTGTTCTAGTTACAGTCTCCTCCACAGTCTGCAGACCACCCTTCGACTCCCTGTTGAATATATTTGGTAGCTGTTCAAATCTCATCTAAAGCTTATGAATTTTTAAAAAATTTATTTTTATTGAAAACTCAGATGTACAGAGAGGAGGAGAGACAGACAGGAAGATCTTTTGTCCAGTGATTCACTCCCCAAGTGATCACAATGGCCGGTGCTGTGCTGATCCGAAGCCAGGAGCCAGGAACTTCCTCCAGGTCTCCCACATGGGTGCAGGATCCCAAGGCTTTGGGCCATCCTCAACTGCTTTCCCAGGCCACAAGCAGGGAGCTGGATGGGAAGTGGAGGTGCTGGCACCCATATGGGATCCCGGTGCTTTCAAGGTGAGGACCTCAGCCACTAGGCCACCATGCTGGGCCTAAACTTAAGAATTTTAAAATGAGGGTCAGAGCAGTGGCTCAATAGGCTTCTCTTTGTTCCTGTGGCATGCACACCCATGTGATCACTGGTTCCTGTCCTAGCTTCTCTACTTCCAATCTTGCTGTCTGCTTATGGCCTGGGAAAGCAGGGCCAACCAAGTTGGAGACCCAGAGGAGGCTCCTGGCTCCCAGCTATAGAACAGCTTGGGTGTGACCATTGTGGCCAATTGGGAAGTGAATCAATAGGTGGAAAACCTTATCTTTCTCTCTATCACTCTGATTCTTGCTCAGTAAAATCTGCCTTTCAAATGAAAATAAATATTCAAATGAAAATAAATATTCATCCTTCCCTTAATTTTGTAAAGTATATATATATAGCCTGACCCGCGTCATGAAAATGGGAATTTTTCTGGACTCTTCCTCACCTCTCAAGTATAACTTTATCTAGCATTGAAGGTTTGTGATTTTGTTGCTCTTTATTCTAGTGTTTATATGCCATGTGTCAATGTAGGAACAGCTGTTGCTCATTAAAACCAAAATACTTTGGAGGTTAGCACTGTGGTAAAACAGACTAGTCCTCTGCCTGGGATGCCAGCATCCCACATGGCAGCCGTTCATATCCCGGCTGCTCCAATTCTGATCCAGCTCCCTACTAATGACCTGAGAAGCAGCAGAGGATGACCCAGGTACTTGAGCCCCTGCACTCACATTGGAGAACTGGAAGAAGCTCCTGACTCCCAGCTTTGGAATGGCCCAACTCTCCATTGGTGGCCACTTGGGGAGTGAACTTGCAGACAGAACTCTCCTTCAGTCTCTGCCCCTCTCTCTTATAGTTCTTACAAGGAAAGAATAAAGAAATCGTTAAAAAAAACCTGAAAGCATTTTCTTATGAGGAATGTCACTCTTGACAAAAATTGTGAAGGGTGTATTATCTCAGTGATAAGCTTTGATCTCTACTAAGGTGTGGTTGTAGGTTTAGGAGTCATCAGAGGAAAGCAGGTGGAAATTAAGAGTGGAGGGAAGCACACGTGGACCAGTGTAAAGGGAAAGATACATAGAAAAGAGGAAAATATGTCATCATTTCTACCTGTGTTGAATATTTGACGTGGTGGCTAAGGTGCCTTTTCGGGATGGACTTTCTCACAAAAACTTAAGTTACCATTTGGGACAGCCATATCCTATGTTAGAACACCAGATTTAAATCCCGATTTTGGATTTCTCACAGGCATTTTCTCGTTAAGTGAATACTGATAGTCGGTGGTAATGGCTACTTACTGAAGTCTCTGCCATCCATGTGGGAACCTCATATTCTACACTACTTGCTAGGGACTGGACCTCCTCTGGCTGAAGTTGCATTTTTGGAGTAGACCAAAATTTGTTCATTTGTGCTCTCTCTCTTTTCCCCTAAATCGAAGGAAAATAAATGAATAGTAATGATTAACAATACTCATTCTACATCACCTACATCTCATATTGGTTTTTATGGAATTGAGTCTTAACTGTGCTCCTAATTATATCCTCCTGTTGATGCAGACACCAGGAAGCAGCAGATAAGGATGGAAACCTTTTTGTTTGTTAGATGTGAGGCTTTCAGAAGCGGCGAGGCATGGGGTCATTAGGATGGCTGCTCAGGGCTCATCAAATACTCCTGACTGTAAAAGACAAGACTGACAGGAGAGGCTCGAGGTCTTTGTTTTTCCATGTGGTCTTCCAGTGCTGCCGAGGGTCTGTCATCAGTAATAGGACCAAGAGCTACTGGTGCAGAATTTTATTCCATCATTTACATTCATTACCACCATGTGTTAGAGTTGGTAAGTTATTAAATGAGAAGGACAGATATGTCTGGGAAATGTTCATGGGTGGAGTATGTCGGGCAGGGGAGGTTGGAGAAGGGGAAATGGTCTTCCGTCTGTGTGCTGGGAAGAGAGATAATCGCCCCTACACATTGCCAGTCTTTATGTGGTCTTGGGAAGGGGGAAGTTCTCATGATACGATCCCAGGTCTCTGGGGAGGGGAAGGATGTCATGTGGGAGGGATCATTTGATTGATAATTTGGCTCATAGGATTTACAAGGAGTGGGGGAAGTGTGGCTTCCAACTTGTGACCTGTGTGTCTTATTCATTTACCCCTCAGAGATTTCTGACTTTTTTTTTTTAAGATTTATTCATTTTTTCTTACAACCAAAGAAATACAAGAGAGGAGAGACAGAGAGGAAGATCTTCCATCTCCATGAATTCACTCCCCCAAGTGAGCCGCTATGGCCGTTACTGCCCATCCGAACCCAGGAGCCAGGAACCACCTCTTCCGGGTTTCCCACTCGGGTGGCAGGGTCCCCAAAGCTTTGGGCCGTCCTTGACTGCTTTCCCAGGCCACAAGCAGGGAGCTGGATGGCAAGTGGAGCTGCCAGGATTAGAACCAGTGCCCATATGGGATCCCAGGGCGTTCTAGGAGAGGACTTAAGTTGCTAGGCCACGCTGCCGGGCCCAAGATTTCTGATTCTTAATTTAAGGGTTGCTGAGGGGTTCAAATTCATCATATCCTCTGTAATTACTCCCCACAGATTAAGGATTTAGAGCTTGCCTATCCCAGGTTTGGCGATCTTAGTCTCATCCAGTGGATCCTTCTCAGGGGGATTTCTGTTCAGTGCTAATGGCGAAGTCCTCTGCATCTTCATCATTACTGAGATGTTGTTGCCTTCTTTGCAAAGGAGTCAGCAATGTAGGTAGTCAAATGATGTAGTTTATGAACAGAGGCTAGACCATACACCTGTGAGTTCTGGTGTCTGATTCAGAGATTCCAAGCTTTCTTACCATCCTGAGATGAAAGGATTTGCTGCTTGCCAAAGTGAAAAGGTCTTGCTGGGCCTCCTCTAAAATATGTGCTGTGGCCTGGCCCCGGGATCCCCAGCATGCAGACTCTTTGGGCGCCTTGCATGGCTCACTCTTGGTGGGCGAGGAAGCCTCGCCCTGGAGGTTCTCCAAGCACCCCTGCTTGGCCCACCCCCAGCCGTGACTCTCCTATATGCAGGTGGGTGGAGCAGCCTAGCCCAGAGAGGCCTTTGACCACAGCTCTGCCCACATCAAAAGCCCTCATTGGCCTCCCAACCCAGCCCAAGTACCCTTGATTATGGGCAGTGATGGTACTCTAACCCTCTCCCCCACAGATTCAATGTTAACAAAGGGAGAGCTATGCTGGCACACTGAGTTAGCATGCACCGGGCCCATTATTCCAGCCAGCTGATTTCTCCCAGCAGTGATACTTACCTAGGTATAAGGCAAAGTTGTTGCTCACGCTGTGGTTATTGTCTTTTGTAGTATACATGGCAGTGGTTGTAATGTGATATCACATTGTGATTGTCATTT